CGCTAGGGTTGACGTACGGTTTCACGCATTGGATGCTACGCAGCCATTCAGTAAAAAGGACGTCCGCATTCTCTGACGTCATTACAAAGAGCACTTCCGCATTTTCAAGCAGGTGGGAGCAGTTTACGAACGACTTGGCTTAGGTACTTCATTCACGCCATGGGTAACATATTAAGAAAAATATAGCCTTATATTAGGCCTATAATGTAATATATCAACATCGCATTGATATCGACGCATTGTGTTGCGAGCGCGTGCGTGCGTACGTGTGCGTGCGCGTGCCTGTGCATGCCTTCGAATTCCATGGCTATGGAATTTATATAATAGCGATATCCTAATATGTAAATGTTGAATATACCTCGCGTGGTAGGCCATAAGATCTATCGAATAGACACCTATTTATAATACAGGAAATATCGCGGCTATAAATACCGAGAAAGATCGCTGTGCGGTGCTGCTGAGTTGATTATTGCGGACCGACGTAACTCAGGCTTGTGTTTTCCAGCTTTGGCTGAGATGCACGGAGCAACCTAGCTTGAGGTTTCAGTTCACGCACGTGCGTCACAATGGGCACCACGTGAGTTCGGCATGGAAGGCTGCCGCATGCGCATAAATAATACAAAATTATATTAATTATATTATATATTATATATATATTATATTTTATTATATTTCATGTTATGTTATTTTATTTTATTAAGTTATATTATATTATATTTATACTATTAAATATTATATCATATACAAAATTCCTATTGCGTAAAATACGTTATATGAATGCTAATGTATTTAATATATCTAAAATAAACAGATTCGTAAGGCTAAATGTCGATTTACTACATTTATGAGGACATTACGTAATTGTCTTGTTTGTCAACGATCAGCCAGGTAAAATGTCCCGGTGGTGTCGGCTGTTTGACAGTCATTGATGTTCGCCGAACTGAGGTACATACATGGTGTCGCAGCGGTGGCGTTTCACTTCTCTGTATATCATATATTAATATATATATGTATATATATTATATTATATATTATATATATTAATATTATTTTTATTAATATATATATATATATAATTATATACATGTATAGTATATATTGTTCCCAAGCCATCGCGTACTGCCAATCAACTGCGTTGCTATGGAATGACATCAAACGTTGGCCGCGCTGCTGTGAAGCCGTTGGCGTAGCCGTTGCTAGGCAGCGTTCTTTGTTCATGCATTTCAATTTTCGTTGTAGAAACAGACCGCTTTTCTACTCCTCATATAGCTCGTTTGTTGCACGCTAGATTGTTCAAAGTAAAACCTTCATATAGTGATAATATTTATCGTCCTTGTAAGTGTCAGAAAGAGGCGAAGAACTCAAGAGAAATCGTATAAAGCATCTGTGCTTGGTGTCTCAAGTAGGTGCAGCCCTAGTGGGCTGTGCGTGTGAATCCACGCTCTGGACATCCAGAGGTGCTTGGTGTAGAAACTCACCGGACAATATGTCGTTTAGACCTTGTGTGATGGTTCTTCTAGCGTGCCTGCCTATGATTACGGCCAGTCCATCTGTGGGAAACGGTAAGACAAATATTTACGATACTAGATTACATTTGAGTGTTTTTATATGCGGAAATATATGAAAAAAAATATGCTAATGATATATAGATGTAATAGATGAATATCACGGGTATGTATATACGTGTGTAATACGCCTGCTTGGCGCGCGTGCGCGCGTGTGTGTGTGGCTGGGTATCGGTGTGTGTGTGTGTGTGTGTGTGTGTGTGTGTGTGTGTGTGTGTGAAAATGTATCAGATACGTGTGCAGTAGTGTGTGTGGGGGGGGGGGGGTGCGTGTGCGCGCGCACGTGTGCGGACACGCGTTCGCATATGTAAACAAAGAGAAACAAAGAAGTATTATACGATATTATTCGACTGCACGAGTTGTTTATTCCTAGGTTATGACCTAAGTACATTATTATGTTGCCATGTGTAGAAACCAGTCTAGCTCGGTTACATAATTATATCTTCCTTGCTTCGACAAAGCTTCACTCTGTATACTGCATGATAACCCTGCATCTGCTTGCGCGCTACATCTAGCATCTATGTAGCTGTACATTGGTTCAGCCGCAGTCACTATGTATATGTATAGGTAATGTCACTATATAGTATATAGTACCGACATAAAGTACAATAATATATAACTGGATTTCTATTAGAATCTCGTTCATATTACTGTTTTAGAAAGTAGCCGTGGAAATTCGAGAGGCAGGAAAGTTCAAGGTTACATCGCATTTCAGACATCAGAATTCAGAACAAAAAAATATATTCTTGCCACGCAGGACACACCATTGGTAGATCGATCTATTGCTTCCTGCCAGTCAGGACACAACACGCCGCATTCAGGGAAGCAAACATCATTTATTTTGTTACATCATCTTGGTCACATCATTTGCCGTCATATCACGTCTACAAACAGCGTCAAATATATATTAAAAAAGAGAATTAGTAAGGAGAAAATTACATGATCTAGGTACGTGCGTCTAGTCTCTGCGTATGTATACATGACACATGACTTGAAATATAACACATATGACTTATAACTACTATACCTAACAATAACATATAGGTTCACTATAAATATAATTAAAAAAAGAAGGTGCATAGGCTCAGCTCGGTCATGTCGCCCGGATGGAAGTAGGTGCCATAACGACAACGGCACTTAGATGGAAGTAGGTGCCATAACGACAACGGCACTTAGATGGACCCAACGGGAGGAGAAGAAGGGGAACCAAGAGACCTGGAGAAGAT